ATTTGTTCCCTGAGAGGAGGGGGCTACTCCCTCAAGGTCCCAAAACCCCCTACCTAAGGCAAGTTACTTTTGCCATAAAAGCTGTATACAAATAATAAACGAGGCCACTCTTTGCCATCAGCATTGGGTGGACCTCCTGTCCCCAGCTTTCGTCTCTAGTCTCTTTCTTGTCCAGTCTCCCACCCAGTCCTCTCAGGTACCCTTTCGGTGGGTTCCTGGCTGACGAGTCAGGAACGCTCGGTTGGCGCGTGGGTTGCATCAGAGTGTTTTGTGTAGTTGAGATATAATAATTTACATTCTCTGACCCAGTATTTTTCTGCTCATGTGAGCACTCTATATACATAGACAATGTAGAAGGGGTCATTTGGATAGTAAATGGCAGAATAGTGCCAGAATCTGAGTTTTTGGTTCTTGCTTCACTGTTCTTTACACCACACCACACCTACTAAATTTCTAACAATAAAGGAAAGTATCCTTAGATTACCAGTGATGTGCATAAATTTTTCAGAACTTATTTTGAAGAATGCAGGTAAGGAAAAGGTAGTGTTTCTACATACTTTTGCCACATCTTTTTCTCCGTGCTACTATCAGACTTCAACTAAGTAATTTTTCATTCTGTTCTGAGCAAGTCATATAATAGAAAATGACCAGCTTAATTTTTTTATTTTTTCCTGCAGTTTCTACAGCAGTATAATCACTACAAATCCAATGTGGAGATTTTCAAATTACAACCAAATAAACCCAGCAAAGAACTGGCAGAACTGGTGCTGTTTATGGCACAGGTAAGGAGATAATTGCTGAATAAAACAAAGACCAGTTGTTTCACATAGTTCACAGAATATTTTTTCAGTTAAACCCAACCTCATTCCCTTCAGGAGTGGAAGCTTCATTTAAAAAAATTTTTTTCTCACTTTCCCTTTTTGCAAATTTTCTCCATAAGATCAGTTAAAAAATTTTGCTAGAACTTTTTATAGAACCATCCAGAGCAAAACTTACAAACTATTTGTTTTCTTCAAGTTCATTATAAAATCAGATTCTAAATCATGTTACACATATTTTGCTAAGGCTAGAGAAAATATGAAAAGGGTAAAAAACTTAGCATGTAGAATAATAAGACATGATTTGGAACCATCTACTTCTATAAAATAGCCATTACTCTCCTTTTGCAGAAAATCCTAAGTATCTGCATATGAGTTACAGGAGAGAAAGAGACATTTCAGAAGAGTGTTTGTTTTGTTACAGATTGGTCACTGCTACCCAGAACATTTAAGTAACTTTCCGCAAGAGCTAAAAGATCTTCTCTCCTATAATCACACTGTGTTGGATCCAGATCTTCGAATGGTAGGGCCAGTGTTTGGATTGATAACTTGTGCTGTGTTCATTGTGTGTGTGTGTGTGGTGTGTGTGTGTACTATATTTAAAAGAGAACAGCCTCTTAACACCTTTTAAAAGTGTAAGTCAAAATGTGTCTCCCCTTCCTTAAAGTCCTTCTGTGGCTTATTATTTATACTTAGAACAAAACTCAAACTTATTATCATGGCCTGTAAGTTCCTACATGATCTGCTTCCTGCCTGGTTTTTGGGTTTGTTAAAAATATCTCACCTCCTTTTCTGCTACACTCCTCTTTCTGATCTGTTCCTCCACCATGCTAACCCTCCCTGGGTGTTCTTTTGCCTCTTTTGAATAGGTGATTCCTTCTAGTCATTCAAATCTCATATGCCTGAAAAACTTTAATTACAACTTACAGTTTGTATAATGCGTAATTTAATAAACTTACCCATTAAATATCCAGTTTGAACATTTAAACATTGTCACTCTAAGGGTTGACATTGGGTCCTGGCCGAGATGCCCTTTACCAAGCCAGCGTACCCGTTTCCCCTGCCTCATGGCCCCCAGCTGCCCTTTCTCTGGAGCATTGTCCTCAGCTGAGCGGGAGCCCTGGCATCTGGGAGGTTGCCCTCGCGTCCCACAGCTGGTACCTGACTAACGCAGTGGTACAAAAGTGCAGCCCCTTCCCTCCAGGTAGGTCCCACTTTGTTGCGGTTTATGCTCCAGGGCTTCTTTGTGATCAGACTGAAGCTAGTGTCCAGCCAGGGACACGTCCTTGCTCACCGTTTCTTTTCTTTGCCCTATTCTGCTGCCTTACTTTCCTTTTAGAAGAGAGCATACCCCAGACAAACCGCGGTGATGACTTGGGCTCCGCTCTAGGGAACCCAACCTTAGGCATTTTTAAATTTTATATATCAGTTTTTAAAACACCTTTACAGCAGGTAGAACTTACACAACGATTGTGATCACAAAACATTGATATGCTAGACTAAAACTTGTAAAACTGCTAAGTCCATAGATTCAACTTTGTTTCTTATTCTTATATTTCCCAGTCTTTCTGTAATTCCACCATTTTATACTTCTCTAAGATTTTCTTAATTTGATTAGTCCCAAAAGAAAAA